TAAAGGAAAATGGAAATTTGGTTATCTTTACTACGGCCGGCCTGCTTATTTTATTTGATATTTAATAAATTGGTTGCACATTCCAATAGAGGATTTGCTTACCACTTCCTGGTCCATACTGTCCATACTATAGGTTTAAAATGAATTCACGGCTAAGAATAGTTTCGAAACTAAAGATTTGGAGATGGAGCTAACATTTTATTGCAGTAAATGGTTTTTCAAAGACCTTTATAATGATATACTTTATAGCCTCTGTTTGCTATTTGAGTACTTGTAAGCTTTTACATTTACAAACATTTCCTTAATTTTTAAAACTAGTAAAATTTTACGTAGTGGTATAATTTTGGTTACTTTTGAAAGGGAGTATGTTTGGTAAAAAAAAAATTAAAACCTCGTGTAGTCGCAATAAAATAAACTGAAAGACCCTGAATGTTTTACATTTTGAACACCCATACGTGGGAATCGAGATAAGTTTACTCTGTTTTCATCGAGCTCTGTTTTTGATCAGTGAACAAATACCTTTAAAATGAGGTATCACTTAACCTACCTCTACAATTGAAAATGTTTCAGAAACTGTCCCCAATTAATTTCCAAAAACGACCTTTTCGATGCATTTTGGAGATTTCAAAATAATTTCCCCAAATTCTACTGAGTAAAAATATGGCCACCTCGATTAGTTTTGCCTCTATACATTGTGTTCGTGTGTCGCCCTGTAACACGGCAAAATTATATTACGGAAACGGGGCTTTTTAACATATTAAATTATGAGTCATACCAATAAGAGTCAATTATTGTCTCTATAGTACCCTTACAACGAGAATCGTTAAGGTTCTTCATAAAATGTTTAACTGTTCACATAAGTTTTTGAGTAGAAAAAAAAAAAAACTTGCTTGCAGTTGGTAGTTGCTTAATTATCTTTCTGCTATTGTATTGAATGATACTACATTTTACACTAATTAATAGGCGTGAAGGAACGAATTCTCCAAACTATGAACAGTAGTTAATTAGTAAATATTCTTTAAATTACCAACCAAGCAAACTATGAGGATACAATAAAAACTTAAGTCACATTTTGATTCGTTAAACAGTTTCCAGGTTTAAGAAATAAGCAAATATATTTGTTTACGCAGTCATATTTGTATTTATTATTACAATATTATATATCACATATTTTAATAGCAATAGTACTGCATTTAACAAACCTCTAGGCCTACCAATTACTAATATTTTCCCTTAAAGACTAGAAATGCTGGTAGAGTATTTTTTTTTTACTTTTAAATTATCTACGTCCATGATACATATACAGATCATAATATAAACCGGTTTTATATACATATGTATGTATATATGTATGTATATCTATATGTATGTTTATAATACATTGGGAGGATAAAATCTTTCTAAGAAACCTGAAGTTGAATGTAGAATAATATGTATGATGAATTTTGCATGAGACGCTTGTCATGGCACTTACTACTGCCAATATATTCTTCAACGTGACTTGGTGACACTTGTAACCAACCACGCATGAGTCTCTGGTGGAAAACTGAATGGAGTAAAACATAGAATATAAAGATAGTGAAATTGACGTTATTTTAATAATATAATAACACAATAATCAATTAAATTTGCACATATTATGTAAAATCTTAGTGTAAATGTAATTAAAAGTAATGGATTTAGGAAAAAAACTTACCATGGTGATACATTGTATGAAGCTTAATAGTTTATTACATATTATTATAATTTAATAGTTTAATCTGAAAAGGTGACGATTCGAATCTAGGTATAGCACATAGGGTTTTGTAACACTTGGCAAAGTATTTTAAGCCAAGTATGAATTGAAATGACTACGATAAGCTGTGTACGATAAGTACGATAAGTTGTGCGATCTTGTAGTCTTGTTAGTGACTAAGGCCATCAGTTTCCCTTAGACACAGCTAATAGCCCATACAACCAATGGCAACTAAAAGTTTGTAGTGAAATCTGAACCTCATTATTTTTTCTTTTTAATTAACGAAAATGTCCAACTATCTGGATAGTACTGCGGATAGTCGTAGTACTCACTAGTGTGGAGTATAATGAGTATATAATAATTATAATGAGCTTAACTATCTCCGCTATAACATAAGTTTTTTATTTTACTTTTAAACTTGCAATATCTTGATTTAGGCTTTCGAGGAATGAATCATTTGTTTTAAAAAGCACGTGTTTCTGGAATAATTAAAAATTCCGGGATAAACAAAAGACGATTGTTTACTTACCTTAGCCTGTATAACATACCGTATGTGATTGTTATCATATTATTAAGCCACAGAGTTTTATACTAAAATGAAAGCACTATATTTTAATTTATACACTGTTTAGCTAAGCTGTCTAATCTTTAAGAAATGATCCGGTTGTAAGGGCAGACAATTCCAAGAAATTGGGATAGCCACTGGATTTTGGAGCCAGACCCAAGATATTTATTAAAATTTGTTACAAGACAGTGATTTCTTTCTGAATATTGCGAAAACATGATAACGTGCAAGGTTTCTTTCCAAAACCTAATTTCTACTTTGGATTTGATCAAAATCTTAAAAATAAATATTACGGTTATCATTAGCATTTATATAATCAGATCTGTAAGAAGAACGTGTAACTTGAAATGATGTAAAATATTCACTGAACAATTTTACGTCTACCACAACATAAAACATGACGTGACCAATCAATATACCTGAAATATGAAACCACTGTTGTGAGCACCTGATAATATTTTGCAGCATGTGTTTTAAACACCAAAGCATTGTTCTGTGGTCAACATGATCATGTAATTATAATGTGACACTTGTTACGTTATCAGCAGAATGTGTTTACATAATTATCCCTGTGGTGACTTTTGTGTGCTACAGTTTATGGCAACCAAACTACCATAATAGGTTGTACCGAGTATGCGATAATATCAGTTTATGTGTTTTGCTGATAAACTTAAAGCACTTAACTTACCTCCTAAACAGTGGTGTTTTTATATAGTGCAAAGTTATTTAAATAAATAAATACAAATGTATTTAATTATCAAGAATTAAGAATTTCTCGGTTTATACTGCTTTACAAGATATCACTTGCCTGTTAGTTTACATTAAATGAGAACTTATAACAGAAAAACAACATTCAAAAACCTGTATTGGTCACTTACCTGCAACTATATGAAAAATTCTTTCAGTAAAAGTCAAACGTGTAATATAAAAGGTTGATGTGGTTGGATAAAACATGGCGTGCTATTTGCTTGGAAAAATACTAATAAAGTCGTCTAAACGTTGGTGGTTCGTAGCATGTAATTTTGTGACTAAGCCACACACTTTAGCATAGCCGAGTCCACTTACTTTTCAGGGGGCAAATAAACAGAATTATTTTATTGAAACAGACAAATACTAAGTGTAGTTAACCTTGATTTTAGGACAAAAGTGTGAAAAAAATAAATCGGTTGAATATATTTATTTATATTTTTAAATAAGCAAAATGCTATGAGTTTACGAAAAGGAAACACGTTTATTTTTCCAATAACATCGTGTCGTGTACAAGTTCCTCATGAATTATGCATACTCTCCGTGCTTGAATGACATCTAAACTGCCTCGATATGTATTTCTTCATTCTATTTTACTGTCTCATATGTTTAAGGCGTAGTCGTATTTACACGTGTGCTCCACCTGTAGTAAGCATAATTAAGCATATTTTAAATTCCAATAAATCTACCTCAACAAAACGTTTTAGAGCTCTCTTTGAATTAGTTTTAAAATTTTTGCTCCATTCCTCCTAGTTTATTGTTGGTAGTGCTTCATTTAAGCTAATATTACCAAATATTTTACTATTATTAAGTGCCCAAACAGTAAATTTGTGATATAAGTAACGACCTTTAGTAATATGTAACTGATGGAATCACCAAACCAACCGGATTGACTCTAATATTAAAAGTAACCATACTATCATTTCTTTCTTAAAGAGATATAAAAATAAAAAATATATATAATAACAAGCGTTTAAAACGTTAGGAATCAAAGAAAAATTCTCCTATATCCAGCATTACAGTTTTAACTATTATCAAAATGTTGCATTAGCTTGTAAGTGTTATATTATTTGAGACTGTTCTTTTAAATTTAAAATTTAAATTCTATAAATCACCAGTAAAATGTTACCTTTGAGGGATTAGTGCCGTCATTTTCGAAATGTATTAATAAAAAATAGTTTTCACGATGTTTTGGGATCTGGAAATACATTTTATCCATCATAGTTGAGAAAGTAGCTGACACATTGATTCAACAAGATTCACGATTTATTTCGGACTTTTATTTAATTACAAAAGGTTTTATCAGTATTATTTTACACTTATAATCGGATGACACAAAAATACTTGGCTTTTGTCTTCATGGTAAAATCATTGGATAAAAAAAACTTTAAGGCTTTTTATGGGGCAAACCTTTGGTAAAAAAAACCTAAGCCGGTTTTTTTTCAAACAGAATAATGAATGATTATTAACAGTTTAACTTCCAATTTGTAGAGTAGTTGGAGTAATAGTGATAATTGAGTCTCTTAGCGTTTGAATAAGGTTTCGACTAATATTGTTTGAATTTTGATAGTGTAATTAATTTTTATTGTTTGATTTGCAAAGAAAATTGTATCATTAATTATTACTAATAATCGCCTAGGAATACTATAAATAAAGTATATAATTTCTATACTAAACAACTTTTTATTCCAAATTCTTGATCTCAAATAAATAACTTCTATATCAGCACATAAAACTTGCATGTTCATCCTTCACATAAAAATGATATGCAAGTAGGGTGAATTTGATATCGACGATCTCCTGTCCGAGCTCAATGCATAGGGCATGTACGCTCAAGGATATGCTGACGATATTGTTGTACTAATAAGAGGAAAATTATGAACACTTGCCTGGAACTCATGCAGAGGGCATTGCCCATAGTGGAGAGGTAGTGTAACCAGGAAGGTCAATCCAATGAAGACTGTAATTGTACCATTTACAAGGAAGAGAAATTTTGATATTAGAGTACCAACTCTCTTCGGTAATAAGATCCAGGTTAAGAGGGAGTTCAAGTACCTAGGAATAAGGCTGGACGACAAGCTCACCTGGAACAGCCATTTGGCACATATAACGCAACGCTCTCAGACCACACTTATGATGATGAGACGGGCTGTTGGGAAGACCTGGGGTCTAAGTCCACAAATGACTAACTGGCTATACACTAGGGTTGCAAGACCGATGATGGTGTATGGCTCGGTGGTTTGGTGGACCAAGAAAATGCAAACTACCACTGTAAAGAGACTACAAAAGATCCAGCTAGTGGCATGCCTTAGCATCACAGGAGCCATGAGAGGCACTCCAACTGCAGCCCTGGAAGTAGTGCTAAACCTACTACCTCTCGACATCATTGTGAAAGGAGAGGCAAGGATAACAGCCTACAGAATGGCTTGCAGTGGCAACTGGAAGTATAATGCCTCCAGTGAGCACACAAGAATTGTAGACAAGGTGCAGATGAACACCTTGGAAATGCTACCAGACAGGATGGTGAAGATCATAGATCTAGAAAAACCATACAATGTCAACATTGTTGACAGGGATGCCTGGGACAAGAGTGAACCTGAAAACATGATTAGGGGGATCACTTGGTATAAGGATGGCTCGAAAAAGCCAACGGGCACGGGGGCTGGAATATGTGGAGTCAGAACCAAGGCGCAGTTCTGCGTAAGTTTGGGAAAATGGCCACTGTATTCCAGGCAGAAGTTGTTACCCTGTCTTAGTGTGCGAGAGTGTGTTTGAAGCGCGGTCTTATAGGCCACACTGTATACATGAACTCAGACAGCAAAGCAGCACTAATGGCACTTGACAGTTTTGACTTTACCTCCAAGGCTGTATGGGACTGTCATCAAGCCATGAAAGCCCTGGGAAAGAATAACAGGATCATCCTTAGTTGGGTTCCAGGGCACAAAGGTATCGGTGGCAATGAGGGAGCTGACAAGTGGGCAAACAAAGGAGCTGAAAGCCCGCTCATGGGTCCAGAGCTATTGCTTACAGCACAGCACAGAGAGCTGTTCGACAGTGGATGGGCATAGAACATCGAAGGAACTGGGAAAGGACAGAAGGAAATGTACAGTCAAAGAGAATGCTGAAGGCACCTAGAGGTGCGATAGCGGCAGATGCCCTTGGGCTGAGTAGGAAGACCCTGAGGAAGGTGGTTGGCTTTATTAGCGGCCATTGGGTATTCCGTGGACATTTACACAAGATGGGAATTCAAGTTGAAAGCCTCTTATGAAGGAAATGTGGAGAGGAGGAGGAGACAGCATTCCACGTGATATTTATGTGCTCAGCCCTACAAGGACTGTGCATGAGATCCCTTGGCCTATCGACTGGAGATCAAAGGATGAAGGGTCACCATAGTCAAAAGGCTCTCACGGTTCACTAAGGACCTGGGATTTGACAAAGAATGAGGACCTGTGAATGAGGGTGCACAATAAGCTGTTCTAGCTGCGCTGCAATCCCATGGTTACTTAAAGCCTGGCCCTCTATAAAAAAGGGTGTATTTGTATCAAGAAATCAAATCAAATCATATCTATTTCAAGAACCTGGGACCTGAAATTACCTTTATTTCCTGGTTACCTTAAACATTTTATCAGATTATTGCAGTTTTTTGTTTTAATAACAGCATGTTTCCGATGGACTTGTACTTTTAAGGTTTACAATTCCCTGATTAGGTTAATAGTAATTCCTGTTTCTGTAATCTTAATTGAACATCTTTTTGAAATACATCTTTGACGATTCAGTTATATTTTCTGCAGAAAAGATAGTTCATGTTTTTATATCAGTTCAATGGTCTGATTTGATCTATTATATTATTTGAAGTGTTAAAATTTGGTGCAAGGATAAGTGTGAGTGAATGAGAAAATGTCAGGACGGTACGAACTGTCGTCTGCAGTCAAGTAGGAGAACCAGAGTCAAGCACCTCTTGCTACAACATAAACCGTCACAAAGATAAACTAACCGTATAAAAATATGCAAAGGTTTGAGCCTACGCTACTTATAAGTGTCACTCTAAAATGTCATTTTAATTTTATGATAAACGTTTTCGCATAAAATAACATTGGAATTAATAATTGTTAACGACTCAAAGTACGACATATTCATATTTTACATGTTTACAAGGGCAACATCATGTGGGCTGAACTATTGTAATAGAGAGCTGAACCCGTTCATTAACCAACATTTCAACAGGTAACAATACTATTTCAAGGCACCACTAGCCGCGACTGTTTTAGACGTTAGACAATACATTAACTCGCTTTGTGTCTACAATTGTTGGCTACACTAATGTAATAGAGAGCTGAACCCGTTCATTAACCAATGGTTCAACAGGTGAGCAATACTATTACGAGGTGCAACTAGCCGGGACTGTTTTAGACGTTAGACAATACATAACTCCCTTTGTTCCAATCATCTTTGGCTACTTTATTGTATTTGAAATCAGATGACTTCATCAAAGCTTTTCTGATAATTTATATTATGTATTGTTTTGAATTAAAAAAAAAAAAAAAACTATAGATATAGTGTTTCAATAAGTGTGTTTTTTTACTGCTGGTAAGTCTAATAATATTGATTATTACTACATGAAAAACAAAGTGTTAGTGTTTAACTAGTAAGTCTAGCATTTAATGCCCTCTTGCAAGCGATTTGCTCTTGTATAATTCACTGCAGGACAAGTAAAGCATCGAAGCTTTGCGGTACTCCAGCTGACAGTTTACTACAGAGACTAGTCAATCACTCCAGTAATACCGATTTCTACAGTAGTAATATACTCACACACTAGTTAAGCATTCGTTGAGATTTAATAAAACGAATTTATCTTTAATATAGGTAGTAATGTTTGTTGTTCATTATATGATATAAAGTACGATAAAATAGTAACAAACCAAACCACTAAAGGTTAACTAAATAGGTATTTTTATCTTCTTATTAAAATGTTACTCAATCGTCTAACCTAGGCCCACAAATTTGATAAAATTATTGGGATTAGTAAGCACAATATATGTTATCAGTATATGTCCCACGATTTAAAAAAATACATTAATTGACTGTCAATGACAATAAACGCATTCGCAATGCAATTAATACTTCTCGTATGTTAGACTACGAGACTCATTATATTAAATCTCATTATATAATAGGCCTTATACTAACACTTACACTATAAATAAACATTTGACAACCGTTGGTTAGCTGAGATGGGGTACTAAACACATTCCGGGTTCAGTGAATATTAACGTTGGTGTGAAAAATTAGACATCTGTGAAGTTTAGAGAAAGGAAACATTGTAAACTCTATGTCGTGTGTACGAGCTTTGTAGGCCTCAAAAAATAAGGCAGGTTATGTTTCCTAAGGGGATCCATTGCCTGTTTCCATTCGGTTCTTTAAGGTGCGATGGTCACACATAGGTTCATCATGGAAATCAACATGTCAATAAATATACCATTGTTATAATTATCATAAAAAATACGTTTCTGTTTTAACATTTTCATGTTATTACTTCAACAGTTGGGAATATATGTTCTGGCATTTTATAGATATTGAAATGTATCGTGTATAGGATACACTTTCCATGATGCACATGTGTTAATAGATATATCTATAAATCCTTATGGCTTTAGAAGCAATTTAGAAGCACCATTATGGCTTTACTATTTGCTATAATGCCGTTTAGGCTGCCTTTCTCCTATAAATATATGCCTATATATATTTTTTTGTTTACTAATTAATTAAAGTCATACAACTATAAGCTGGCCAAAATAATTTTATGTATTCGCATTTGTTGCATTAAATCAGGCTATAAATTGTAAAAATCAGTAATAAAATGTTCGAAACGTATTGAAATCTAAATTAAAATGTCCTATAATCGATATTGGCTGAAAAGGAAAGGCACTTCAGCCAGAAAGGTAATTGGGTTTCCTATTGTGGCCTCTCTCAAAACTGGTCATGACACCTGCATTGTGCCTGGTCGTCCTATCATTCTAAACCTTACCTTTATAACCTAACATAATACACATTGAAAAATGAACATTAATACGATATAATCGTACGGTTTTACTTTTATCCACAATTTTAGGTATTTAACTTTAAAATAAGAACAATAAACTATTCTATAAATGAAGGTTTTTTAGCATGCATAGCTTCAATAGTTTAGAAAAATACTATTGTTTTTTAGTACATACTCATACAACATCTATTGATTTGCTATTGATAAAATCGTTCCTTACCTTACAGTAGGTACATTTACTGACAAAACTTCTAAAATAAATTAAATACGTGAATAGGTATTCTGAAGCATCGAGTAAATCTTAATAAACAAGGTAATCTTGGCAGATCTTGGTGGTCATCCACCCTGTATCCACACTCCCTGCTGTGTTAGTTTGCGGTAAATATATATCCTGACATAAAGTTTTTGAATTATTCATTACGGTATGTCCAAAAGCAATATACCAGACATATTTATTAATAGCTTTAATAATGAAAGTAAATTGTCACTATACTTTACCTATTAAATCCTGCATTTCTCTTTATTTAGGCCCAATACACATTAACCTATATGTTTTATATCTATCCAAAAACAAAAAGGAATACTATAATTTCCTACTGGTGTTTTACTTTCACCATGGTGTTTTTTTTTTTTGCTTGGGTATAAATACCCAGGCAGGTGTTCATTTTTATAACATTCAATTCGCTTACTCCATGCACTTAACGGTGATACACTTACTCTTAGGCCAATACAGCTATGGGTATGCAAATTGTTATTATGCTGTTGATCAACAAATATATACACACTGAAGTGTTAACTTTATGCCAGATTTACTTAATTATCTAAATTAAAACTAACCATTTTGTTATTATTTAACAACTACAGGTTAAGTGCATATCCAAGTTTAAGATTATTGAAAAAATATGCATAGAGTAAAAGTAGAGTAGGTTCTTTAATTTAAAATACAAGGTATCGGGCGCAGTTGAGAAGTTAAAATTGGTTTTGCTTCAATCAATAAACCAAGTCCCAATCAAGAGGATAAATAAACCCAAACAACTTTAAGTAACGTTTTGTTTAAAGCCACGCCACGAAGTTTATTAACCTACATAAAGTATGGCTTAAAAAAATTATCATTAAATGTTAGTTCGGTAATACCTAATATCCAACTGCAGTAAGGTGGAGTTAGAGGTGAGAATGTTTACTGGTTGAATGATAAGTAGCTATAATATGCATGTGTTTTTTGAAAAATGTCACCCCAAAATCTCAGAATTAATTTGGATGATGGATAACTTATTTGATATTGTAAAACATTTATCTACTTTAAATGCATCTTGTATACATATATTTTGCTACAAAAATCGTATAATTTATGTTTGGTACTGTATTGTGTAGAACAGTGTATATTTTTTTATTAGTCTAGAACAAAGCGTAAACTAAGCAGTCCAGACCATAAATGAGAATCTCATAATTCCAAAGAAAACAACAGAAACAATTATAGTTTTGAAATATAGAAAGGAGTAAATAAATATATACCTTAGGTCAAATACTTTTTGAAACCTAACCTACCATACTTATAACAAACATTAACAGTTCCATAATTAATTTGTTTCTCAAACATTAATCATACTTTAACTGACTAATCACCGAATACACATTTAATGTAATAAGTGTTTCCCCAAGGTGTAGCACGTAAATTTTTTCACCTTATTGTCGTCGTTAAATATGTCATTAGTATTATTATGATTATGTTGTGTTATTAATTCATAACGCAACATAATCATAATATATAGCTTATAAAAACGTATTACAAATTTGAAAAATAACGTCGATATTTGGCTATCACGAGTGCAGATATGGCAGTTTTAACATTAGATGAAAATCATTTATGAATTTCATCGTTATGCTTCTCAAGTCTGGTTTGTATATTGCTGTATTAAGTAAAGATTGCCCATCCTAGAAGAAACCATGATCCTTGAAGAAGTTACGTTATTTTACACACAATGCCTAGAACGTTTAATGATAAGAATGGTTTTTATTTTATGTATTATT